TTCATACATATTTGAGTTGGGCCCGCCATACATGTTCGAGCTAGGCCCGCCGTGCATGTCTGAACTAGGCCCACCATGCATGCCCATGTCATAACCACCAGGCATTTTAAACCCACGTTCCTTCTGGTATGTTTCCTGTAAACTCATTCTTGTGGCCATCTCCAAGTCATTATTATATTGCTCTTCTAGATTATTTCCGCTTGATGACGTATATAAACTAGTTATCTCCTCATCCATTCTCTGCTTTACAGTTTTTTTACCTTTGGTAACCCTGAGAAATGACGCCATCTGCTTTCTTACATTACTAGGGACACTATTGCACCCAGAAACTTCTCCCTTAACCCCTGCTAAGTGTTGCTTGAACCTATGTACCCCACTTCTTATCACTTTTTGGCAGTAATTACAAATAATTTTGTTTTTTTTGTTGGAATCAAGTCTAACCCCATGTTGCTATGTAGGGTCTTCCGCAGATCTTGCCATGGTTCAACTGTTTTAAAATATAAAAGGTTAAAAATTAACCTGACAGTTCAACATGAAAAATAATCACCATGTGTAGTGCTAATATGTAGGGGTAGTTCATGAAGTTATATTTGTTGTTAATGCAAAATACTTCTATTGACAAAAATATTTTAGTCCTATTGGGAAAAATAATTTATTTATACAACATTATAAATAAAAATATCCTAAATCAACCACTACATATAGAACAAAAAATTACATTGATATAGTATCAATAGAAATTATATTTACAATGGTATAGTAATATATATAGACTTGTCTCAAATCTTCATTTCGACATGAGCGATTCCGGTATTGCAGTGAAATAGGCACGCGTATGCCGGTTCCCGAGTCGAACTGGGCGAGTCTAGTTCGACTCGCCGAGTTTTCAAACACTGGTTAATATATATGTCTTAATTATTTCTTCTATTTAGTTACTTCGTTTGTTTTATTTCTTCTGTTATTATTAAATTATAATTGATTATCGACTATTGACTCTTCCTTTTGTTTCATATATATATATATATATATATATATATATATATATA